GCTCAGAGATAGCGAAGCTGCTGCAGAAGGGCGCAATAGAGAGAGTTCCGCCATCTATGACCGAGTTGGGGTTTTACGGCGTTATTTTCTTGTTCCCCAGAAAGACGGCGGCCTCAGGCCGATCTTAGATCTCAGGGTTTTGAACAAAGCGCTCATGAAGAGACCGTTCAATATGCTCACAGTCAGAAAACTCCTCGCGCACGTCCGCCAGGGGGACTGGTTCATCTCTCTAGACCTGAAAGACGCCTATTTTCAGATCCAGATAAACCCTCATCACAGGCCATTCCTACGTTTCGCCTTCGAGGGTCTAGTTTACCAATATGCCGTCCTCCCGTTCGGCCTATCCTTAGCACCCCGTACGTTCACGCATCCAACACGGGTTGGGGTGCGGTCTGCGAGGGCTCACCGGCCGCCGGCCAGTGGTCGAGCCAGGAGAGTTCCCTACACATAAACTGTCTGGAAATGATCGCGGTTGAGAACGCGCTGCTGTTTTTCCTCCCACGCATACACGGTTACCACGTCCTGATTCGCTCAGACAATATGGCCGTGGTGTCATACATCAACCGTCAGGGCGGGGTCAGATCCAAGAATCTCTTTCATCTGACGCGCCGCATCCTATTGTGGTCCCAGAGTCACCTGCTCTCGCTCAGAGCGACGCACGTACCGGACCATCTGAACGACGGTCCAGACATGCTGTCCAGGAACCTGGTCTCCCCCGGAGAATGGTCCCTGCACACTCAAACAGTTCAAACATTGTGGCGCCTATTCGGCAGAGCAGAGATAGATCTTTTCGCGTCAGAAGAGAACGCTCACTGCCCGATATTCTTTTCAAAGAGCGAGGACGCGTTAGCCCAGGATTGGCCCCGCCGCCCGCTCTATGCTTTTCCCCCGATTTCTCTGCTGCCGCAGGTCATTCAGAGAATCAGGGACACACGCCACTCGGTGCTCCTCATAGCCCCGCGCTGGGAGAATCAGATGATATATATATATATATATATATATATATTCAATAAATAGAAATAGACCTTTTTGTTGTGGATGCATTGCTTTTGAACACTTTTCTTCTGCCATGCTGTGTTTTGATGTTTTAACTAGAGATTGTCTGAGAAAACTGTTTAGTGCAAATAATGCACAACCATGTCTATCTCTTCCCTTAAAATCTCTTCCATTATTCATTAAAATATAAATCAATTAAAAATACTATTTGGCCAGTGGAAAAGATTGAGAAAAACTTTCTCTGAAATGTATTTAACACTATTTGATTTATTCATTCAAAAACAAGGCAAGGATATAGGCTACTAAAAAAAATGTTTGTAATAATGTGACGGCACATCCGCATTTCATATTTTCCTAACGTCTTGTACCGTTAAACTTGGTATCACGTGGATGAATAATCATATGCAAATGATATGCAGATGAGGATATGCATAGTAAAACTAGGCGTTGTAATCTCCAAATATGGTTATTTCGGGGAGGAGACGCACGTGCGCATAATCTCCCGCTGACTGGGTTTTATAAAGTGAATTCTGCGCAGGTTCTGGCGTACGAACGGTTTTATAAATCTGAAAACTTTTGTGCGTACGCAAATTCTGCCTTATGTGCGTACGCACACTTTAAGGATGAAATCTACGCAAAGTTTTATGCATGAGGCCCCTGGACTGCAGGCTGGCCATTTCAGTACCCGGATCCTTCTTCTACGCAGCCATGATGTTGTAATTGATGCAGTATGTGGTTTGGCATTGTCTTGTTGGAAAATACAAGGTCTTCCCTGAAAGAGACGATGTCTGGATGGGAGCATATGTTGTTCTAGAACTTGGATATACCTTTCAGCATTGATGGTGCCTTTCCAGATGTGTAAGTTGCCCATGCCACACGCACTCATGCAACCCCATACCATCAGAGATGCAGGCTTCTGAACTGAGCACTAATAACAACTTGGGTTGTCCTTGTCCTCTTTAGTCCGGATGACATGGCGTCCCAGTTTTCCAAAAAGAACTCCAAATTTTGATTCGTCTGACCACAGAACAGTTTCCCACTTTGCTAGAGTCCACTTTAAATGAGCCTTGGCCCAGAGAAAACGCCTGCGCTTCTGGTTCCCGTTTAGATATGGATTCTTTTTTGACCTATAGAGTTTTAGCCGGCAACGGTGAATGGCACAGTGGATTGTGTTCACTGACAATGTTTTCTGGAAGTATTCTTGAGCCCATGTTGTGATTTCCATTACAGTAGCATTCCTGTGTGTGATGCAGCGCCGTCTAAGGGCCCGAAGATCACGGGCATTCAGTATGGTTTTCCGGCCTTGACCCTTATGCACAGAGATTGTTCCAGATTCTCTGAATCTTTGGATGATATTATGCACTGTTGATGATAATAACTTCAAACTCTTTGCAATTTTTCTCTGAGAAACTCCTTTCTGATATTGCTCCACTATTTTTTGCCTCAGCATTGGGGGAATTGGTGATCCTCTGCCCATCTTGACTTCTGAGAGACACTGCCACTCTGAGAGGCTCTTTTTATACCCATTCATGTTGCCAATTGACCTAATAAGTTGCAAATTGGTCCTCCAGCTGTTCCTTATATGTACATTTAACTTTTCTGGCCTCTTATTGCTACCTGTCCCAACTTTTTTGGAATTTGTAGCTCTCATGAAATCCAAAAGGAGCCAATATTTGGCATGGCAATTCAAAATGTCTCACTTTCAACATTTGATATGTCATCTATGTTGTATTATAAATATAATATTGAAATTTGAAACTTCCACATCATTGCATTCTGTTTTTATTCACAATTTGTACAGTGTCCCAACTTTTATGGAATTGGGTTTGTAGTCTCTTACCATCAGTTCCAGGTTATCCGCTCTCTGGTTAACTGCAGCCTGAATGACAGCCTGAAGATCCTCTAAAGACAAGTCGCTCCTTTCTTTCCTTTGTACTTTTAAGGCAGGGCTGGACGAGGGGCGACCAACCGGAGCAACAACCTCAGAGTCCGTGGAGAAGTAATCGGTCATTTTTCCACCGTTGTTTTCTTTTTGGTTAGCTTCAGCGCTTGAACTCTGCCTTTACATTCTGTTTTTGTTCAGACATAATATGGTGTAACAACGTCACCGACAACAGTAAAGTAGTTACACCATCGTTAAAAGCAAAGTTGGGAGGCCAGAAGACTGTTATTAAGCAAGCAGTTTTGTGGTTGCGACTGAGCGCTGCTCCGCCTTTACCGGAAGTCTCGACACTCTTGATGCTTCGAATCTTTTCCCGAAACATTCAGGGGAAAGCCTCAGTGCTTCACGAGGCTTCATTTCCCCATCCCTACAGTACAAACACACACACACGTTGCTTACTGTGCCATAAGGCTTACATCCTGGTTACCCAGTGCTGACTGTGCCATTCATTTGCCAAATGTTGTCCAACTATTTTGCAATTGTAATGAAGCTGTTGTTATAGGAAAGAGGAGGCGGGAACCGGTGAACATTGAACACTTTTATTAAAAAAAAAAAAAAAAAAAAACATCTACAAGTATAAGCCAGCAGCCCCTGGCGGACGACAGAAACAGAACATAACACAAGTTCAGGCCTGTTCTTCTCTCAATCTCCACTGTCTCCTCCTTTTATGCTTCTGCTTCTCCGTGAGAGATACAAGAGATACTGTGGCAGGAGTAATTTGGCTGAATAATAAACCAACATTAAGCACATGTTTCTAATACACATGCTAACACACACGCTGCTTTATTTAATAGTGAAGTCTGAGTCTCTTCCACCTGTATGAAACACATTTACACATGTATTTCTCCTCATAGACAGCAGTGAGACTCTTCTGTGGATCACCTGATGGTTTCTGCTCCTCTCATCTCCGTTTCACAGATTTAAACTATGTAAAATGTCTTCTAATCTTGGTAAATAGATCATCATCATCTGCTCTGTAAAGTGGAACAGAAGAGAAAACAATCATTGTTCAGTGGAACAAAGTACAAAATATTATATTTCAATTACTGTTTTTTAAGTAAAAATAAGTTAAATTGAATTCCTGTAATCCATCGCCATATTTTGAAAAGTTTGGATCAATGAGCATTAAATAAAAGTCCATAACTGTCTTCTGTTCAAAATTTATATAATGAGCGAGTTCATCATGAATCATCATGTTTGTCTTATCCTAAACCACTATGATCCACCTATAATAGGCGTTTACATTGGGACTATTTTACACTGGTTCGGGTCGCTGCCGCTGCGGAGTAGCCCAGTACCTGCGTAACTTGTCATAGACGTACACAGAGAGAAGTAGATCCGGCTACATCGTTCTTCCGAAAGATGCATTATTCTGTTAATAAACATTTATTATCACTCGCTATTGCGCCAAAAGCGTAAAAAATAAAGCCTCACAAATAACTTACAAGTATTGAGGCCCGAGAGAGCAGTCATTTAGTAATAGGTTACATTCTTTCATTTTTACCAATACACCACTGTGAATATTTTTGTTTTTGCATTTCAAATAGGGCCAATATATAGTCTTATCCTAGGCTTATGTTTTTAAATTACAAAGGGCCTACCGATGTTTTTGTTTTTCAATATTATAGGCAATTATTTGTGCATAAACATATATGGTTATAGTAAACATAATGTTTGTTTGAAAACCACATATTTTGTCATCTTTGCTGCAAGCTTACAAGAACTTAATATTTGATGATAATATCATTAAATGTAAAGGGGGGCCCTAAAATATTTTCTTGGGAAAAAGGGGGTCTCTGACAAGAAAAGGTTGGGTACCACTGTTGTAATCAGGTAAATACTTGACTTTACATGATCTTGCTAGTCTGGGTTTCCCCATGCTGCCTTCCTGCAGAGCGATTTTAGTCTGGATACCATGGCCAGATTTTCGCCTCATTTAGGGAACCAATCACAGAACGAAGAGGGAGCAGCAAGACGATGACGACATCTATGCCACACACCGAAGCAGTTTGTTTATATCTTCAACATGGCAGCAGACGCAAAGCTACCTTTTGATGCAGCCTTAGATATTGTTTCAGTAGTTTAGAATGCAAGTTTATTTAGAAAAAAGAGCAGCTTTTGGCATTAAACTTTGCGAGACCCCAGTCGTTATTGTTGTCTCGCCATTAATCGCCCTAATGGAGGACCAGTACAGGAGGCGATCAACCTTAGAATATCTGCCGCTCAGCTGTGTCCTGAGAAAGAAACTGCGATTAAGAATTGTCGATACCAACTTCTGTTCGGCAGTCCCGAGGCCTGGATGAGCGCAAAGTGGCAAGACATGTTAGCCACGGAGTTGTATAGTACCAACCTGCTAGGCATCATCGTCAACGAAGTCCATTTAACTTATAAATGGTAAGTGGTATTCATTAAAGGGGTGATGAACTGAGAAATCAAATTTTCCTTGAGCTTTTGACATCTAAGAGGTCATCATATTATAAGAATATCCTGTAAGTTTCAGAACTGAAAACGTCCTTGTTAGTCCAATAAAAGCTTTTATTGACACAGCCTCTAAAAACGACTCGTTTTTAAAAGTGGGGAACTATGACGACAAAGAGGATAAAACACCACCCCCACAGAAGATGATCAACGCCTGATTCACCACGGCAGGTTTAGCCCCGCCCACCGATTCGCGCATTACACACATAAGTATCATACATGTACATGCTTACCTCGTGATGACAAACTGGATCACTACGGAGCAATACAGAATATTGTGCAGTGCCTGGTTGTGGAAGAAGACAGTCGCTGCATAAGCTTCCTGTGGATTCCAATAGGACTGCATGGATAAAATTTATTTTTAATGACGTTCCAGCTGATGAGGTAAAACATCGTCGTCTGTTCGCTTCATTTCACTGAGGATTGTTTTGTCAACAAGACTGGATTTGCAGACCGATTAAGAGTAAAGAACGGTGCTGTGCCGTCTATACGGACTCTGGGTTGAACATGTATGGGCGAATCCGGTTGCCATTTGACAACATAGGACGTTTTCCCCCACGTACACCGACGGGTGAGTGAAACTCATTATAATATGCAAAACTGTTCTCCACTCGCAGCAGTGGGTGTTTACTTCCAAGTCTTCAGTGCGACACGCCCATAAAAACCGACTGTTTTTTAGGTAGGCTCACAACCAGGGTACAAAATAGCCTATTACTTGTTCATTTTGATGTTTTTGAATGCAAAAACCAAGCGAACGTTATAAGTTGACCTCAGACAACAATATAATAACATTTAAAAAGCCAGTTCATGACCCCTTTAATATCATATTGTCATTATGCCTGTAGACTACCTACTGTGGTTGTCACAGTGCCACTAAGTTGTGTGGCTTTTCAATATCAATATACAGCTACCGCTTTAGTAGTAATTTAGAAAAAATTTAGTAATTTTTTTAAACTTGTGAAATACAAGCGCAAACAATTTCCAGTGCAAATAACAACTTCAACATCTATGTTAAACTGAACTTAATACTTGTGTTTTTCTAATTGAAAATATTGGCTCTGAGCTACGTACAGGCGCATTTGATAAGACATTCTTAGCACCCAATAAACGGCGCCAAGTCTCAACGAGAATTGGGTCTGGCGTTAGCCAGGCTATGATCTTGCAGAGATATTTGTGTTTTTAAATATAATAGATTTAAACCTGAATCATGTTCATATGTGTGTCTGTGTGTGTCGGTGCGACTCCTATTGAGTCTCTGTAAAGGAGAAACTAATGAGTGTACGGCGTATGGAATAAACCACAGCGAGCAAATACTAATGTTATTTTGAGTTAAACACAAACCTTTAGTTAAAGCCGTTTGTCCTCTAGTTTAAACATGTTTGTAGGCTCTTAGTAAATAACTGAGAGTAAAGTAAGTGTAGAGTAGTGTGACGTGTTGCTTGTCACAGTAAAAACACACTAGAGACAGAGACATTGCTCATGTGAGCTGGACGCTGTGAGCTGAAGCTGGAACTGCACTGATTTTAGCAGGAGTGCAGCGTTTCCTACAATCTGACCAAGTCTGTTTCACACTCAAATGATTCACTTCTACTGACACAGTTCATAAAGCAGGTGTTGATGTATAAAGCTGTGACAGTGAGCTTTTCTTCTCTTTCCTCCTTTGTGTTCAACATTTCAATAACTTCACATTTTGTTCTCACACAAACCCTTTGTTGCAACAAATCTTATTGATAATTTCCTTTTACGAATGTTTGAAAGGTTTGTTCACATATCAGAGGTATATGAAGATCTCTTAAATATCTCAGTGATGTTTCCTCACCTCAGGACACAGTTTGAGTCTCGTAGCTCGTCTCTGAGCCGCTGCTTTGAGTCTCCGATCTTATTGTCTCTCAGCTCAAGCTCTTTTAAAAACTGCAGTGCTTTTGAGTTCGTCAAAGACTGAGTTAAAGAAGAAACATCTGTAATGTCACAGCACCGTAGACTAGAGAGACACAGACAGAAAAAGAGAGATTATCTTACAAACAAATCATGAATGTGAAGAATTTTACAGATATAATGTGAACTCAGACTCACTGTCAGATATTGAGAATAAAGTGTTTTAGTTTAATAAACCCAGAAAGTGCACTGCTATAACCAATGAAAAATAAGCCCTGCTGTCTTCAAATAAATAAACTTCAGTCACACTGTAATTGCTGTACAGTATAATGACACTAACTGTAGTTTCTCCAGCTTGAATTGTGGGTTCATCAGTAGATCACTGAGGTTTTTTACTCCTGAGTCTCCTAGATTATTCACGCTCAGGTCCAGCTCTCTCAGGAGTGACGGGTTTGATTTCAGAGCTGAAGTCACATCAGAACAACCTTTATCTGTCATATCACACCAGCTTAACCTACATTAGCAGAGAGAGAGAGAGAGAGAGAGAGAGAGAGAGAGAGAGAGAGAGAGAGAGAGAGAGAGCACACCTCATAACCTCAATCACAGATATACAAATCGGAAAAAATAACATTTGGTTAAAAATCCAAAAAGACATTGTCTCCACAGACCGTCATATATTCTTGTGTGCTATGTACATTCCCCCAGCCGAGTCCCCCTATTATAATGAAGAAACCTTCTCCATCCTGCAGGAGGAGATCAGCCATTACCAAACTAAAGGGAGTGTGTTAATATGTGGCGATCTAAATGCCAGAACTGGAAATGAACCAGACTTTGTTAAGGGAAACAAATATGTCACAAACACCAGCCTCCATCTGCCCTCATACCACCTAAGACACAATTATGACAAATTAACAAACAAAAGTGGGAAAATCTTACTAGAGCTGTGTAACGATTTTGGCCAGGCGAATTTCTTACATCACATACACGCACACACAAACCTTTCACTTCCCCCACACATCGGAATGTGTGGAATGTTTTTGAACAAAGAGAAGGACTTTTGGTGTTTAAAAACATTCAACAAAATGTTTTCAATGGTTCTTATGTATATGTGTCTTCCCCATGTCACAGTGAAATAACTTTGTTTGGTCACAGTTTAAATAGGAATTAAAAATACCTTCGTCATGCATTTGAAACATAAGTGTATATTCCTTTGATATAACATAATGTTCCTTGATATCTCTAGAATGCTTATTGAATGAAACACTCGAATATGCATAGAGATGTAAAGTAAAGTGTATTTTTAATTCGTTTTACTGCCAATGAAGATCAAATTGCTATTGCAAAACCCCCATCGAACACACCCCCTTCCACGAGAAGCGCGCGCTGAGGAACAAAAGAAAGCTTCCCGCGTGCAACATCCACTCTCCGATTGGCTCAAGCCAACAGGAAGGGGATGGATTTCTCCACGGTGATAAATGTGAGAACGCAGGTCCGCCCTCGCTCTCTTCTGAACTTTCCAGCGCTCAACATGTAAACCTCACGGGACTCTGATCCAACGATGGATCTTTCCTTTTGTTCGTCTAAAAGTTTCATCTTTTCCTCAAGTGGACTACCAAGTTCGTCTTCCAGGAAAGGAAGTGGACTTTGCCGAACTATCTCCTCGGGTAACGTAACCTCAAAGACTCTCAGCCTTTCAAACGCTGGCGCTAAATGCCGACGAACGCCACGTGACTCCCCACGGAACAAAGCAGCCATGAACGAGTCGGGACGGGCCGCGCAAACACGCCGCGGCCGCGCTTCACGTGACGCACGCGCGCCGGACCGGCGCACCTCTAGCCGACACGTGCAACGAGCCCACGACTCACACAGACCCAATTGTGCCCTGCAAGTATACCTTCTTTTAGAGCTTCTAAGAAGCCTTAAGAAAATGTTTTTGTGGTGTTCAGAAAGGTTAACTGACTGTTTTGATGAACGTAACTCTCTCTCTCACAACTCACTCTCTCTCTCACTCTCTCTCTCTCTCTCCATCTCACTTAACTTGCGCGTATCCATTGTCTAAACGCTCTGCGTCGTCTTAGTTTGTGTTTTAATGTTTGTAAATACATGTATCATTGTAACGTAGTGAATGCTTAAGTAGTAACTTTATTAAATACAAAATATGCTTACCTTGACTGATTGTCTTGCTCATGATACGGGTCAATGAAATGTCAATTTAAAGCTACACGCTTTACAGAACTATAAATACCTAAGAGGGTATTTGGTTATATAGCAGGGAAGGCAGATTCTAGTGGCCACAGAATTTGTTTTCACAAGCTATATAACTTAATTGAGCTAATTGATTTTACCTGTCTTGTAAAACGTGGTCCTTGCAATCAATAACAATTAATTTGTGGTTGATTGCGGGGATGCACATGTATGCATATGGGTAAAATTAATAAATTAACATGTAAGACCGGTCTGATCCAAATCTGTATGAATAATTATTAATTATCAATTATTAATTATGATATGCAAATTCCCCCCCCCCCTGATCAGACCCGCCTTGTGTCTTTACAGCTGTGTCGATCACTGGGCCTGTATATAGTGAACGGTCGTATACGGGGAGACTCTTTTGGGTCCTACACCTTTAACTCTTTCTTGGGCAACAGTACTATAGCAAATATACTATAGCTTGCTTTATTGACTTTGAGAAGGCTTTCGATTCGATCTGGCACGAAGGACTCTTCCTAAAACTACTGGAAAATGGGATTGGAGGGAAAACATTTGATTTGATCAACACCATGTATAAAAACAACACATGTGCTGTAAAAATAGGGAATAAACGAACAGAATTTTTCTCCCAACAAAGAGGAGTCAGACAAGGTTGCCCATTGAGCCCCACTCTATTTAACATATATATAAACGAACTAGCCAAAGCATTAAATAATTCCACTGCCCCCGGCCCAACCCTGACCCAATCAGAAGTTAAATGTCTCCTCTTTGCAGATGATTTAGTCCTTCTGTCTAAAACACAAGAGGGACTACAGCAGCTCCTCAACGTCGTAGAGACATTCAGCCAAACGTGGGCTCTCAAAATTAACTTTACAAAAACTAAAGTGATGATCTTTCAAAATAGATCCAGGTGTAGGGAAAATAAATACATATTCAGAGCAGGAAACCAAGTCCTCCAACACACCCATGACTACACATATCTGGGTCTGAAACTGAGTTCAACAGGGAACTTTAATCTGGCTGTGAATGAGCTGAAGGCAAAGGCAATGAGAGTCTTCTACATGATTAAAAATACAATTAGACATGAAATTCCAATTCGAACCTGGCTAAAAATCCTAAAAGCAATAATTGAACCCATTGCTCTTTATGGCAGCGAGATATGGGGACCTCTAAAAACTCAAGAGTTCTCAAAATGGGAAAAAGAAGAAATTGAAACTCTGCATACCCAAATTTGCAAAAACATCCTAAAAGTGAACAGAGCGACACCAAACAACTCATGCAGAGCTGAATTAGGACAATACCCCCTGTTGATCAGCATCCAGAAAAGAGCTATAAAGTTCTACCAGCATCTAAAGCACAGCGACCCGAGCTCATACCAGGCCGAAGCCCTGCGGTGTCAGGAGCAGAACCGGCCCCGGAGCGCACTCTCACAGCTGATGCTCAAACTACAGCCCGACCCGCACAGCACTGTCTGCTGGCCCAACCAAATTATACAACTACAAAAACTAAATTACATTAACTATTGGAAAGATGCTACTAAATCACAAAAGAAGATGGAACTCTATTTAAACCTCAAAAGAGATTATAAACCAGCAGAATACCTGAGCTGTGTGAAAGAGCATAAAGTGAGAAAGACCCTGACCAGATACAGGCTGAGTGACCACAGTCTGGCCGTAGAGAGAGGACGGCACCGGCAGAGATGGCAGCCGCGAGAGCTTAGACTGTGTTCACTGTGCTCTCAGAGAGAGGTGGAGACAGAAGAACACTTCCTCATTCACTGTGATCATTATCACAGCATTAGATCTACTATTTCTCTAGATTCCAACAACTAGATCCAAATTTTATGGCATTGCCAAATTCAGAAAAATTAATTCATATTTTGGGAGAAAACTCCAGCTCAATCACAACAGCAGCAGACTATGTAACAGCCTGTCACAAACTACGAGAGTCAGCCAGTGGACAAAACTAAAGTCAGAATGTTGGTTAAAAAAAAAAAAAAACAAAAAAAAAAAACGTGTTTTTTTTGTTTGTTTGTTTGTTTATTTATTTATTTTGTTTGTTTGTTTGTTTTCTGATATATATGCATGTATTTGTTTACTAATTCATTTACTGATTATTTGTTCATTGCCTATGTAATGGCCAATGCTTTAGCAATACTGTATAAGTCATGCCAATAAAGCTCATTTGAATTTGAATTTGAGAGAGAGAGAGAGAGAGAGAGAGAGAGAGAGAGAGAGAGAGAGAGAGAGAGAGAGAGAGAGACTTTTTTGACTTTTAGGGTCTCTTTTATTTTACAAAATTATAATCCTTCATATATAAAATTAAATTACACTCTAAAAGTTTTTCCCTTTAAAACCAGAAGGGAACGACCATGTACCATAGACATAATCAACAATACACCATAGGAAGAAAACAACAACTATTTTTCCACCTTAGATATTAACTTGCAGATTACCATCAATGTCTACTTCACACACACAATGATTAATTCCCCATTTGCATTTAAACATCTCAAGATTGTTAACTAGCTTATAATAAGCATACTCTATTTTAATACGTGTTTTTATCAATCCCTTCACAATTGATAAAACATCAGTTGACCCTGTGTCATTTAATTTTCCTTTACGGGACAACCATATTGCCATTTTTACCTTTCCAAATAAGAAGTTTATTAAAACATGTACGTCTTTATTGCTTCTACTGTATCTCGGCCCATAAACAAAGACCATTGGGGTAAAAACCATGCCCAACGTTTGGCACCACCTCTCTAATTCAGCAAAAAGCCTCTGCAATCTCCCACAATTAAAAAACAAATGGAAAATTGTTTCTTGCTCTCCACAAAAAGGGCAACCCTCCCCTACCTGTGGATCAAGGTGTGCTCTGTGTCTGTTTGTGGCTGTTATCCCATGCATAGTCCTCCACTGAAGATCTCCAGTCCTCTTCTCAGTAGGAGGCTTGTACAGGGACCTCCAGCTACCTTTAGACTCCTTTACATTGTCCAACGTTTGAAGGTATAAAACTTTCACACACAGTACATAAAGAGCTTTTTTCCCAACATTACGTAAAAGTCCAAGTTGGGGTGTCTCAAAAGACAGCAGTCCACCCTCAGATTTAGTCCATAATCCAGTGTCTGCAGAAATAGACAATTCTGGGAAGGAAAAAAAAATCTTCATCATGTGTTTCTAGAGAAAGTCTGTAATCCACTGGTAGAGCTTCACTTAACTGAGTCAGTATGTTCTGAGCGAGCCGAGTTGATCTTATGCCCAGTTTTCCAGCCAAAACGTCAGCAGATATCCATCCCAG